TCCATTCTCACAGTGCAGCAGCTATATTCTCCAATCACAGGAATCGAAACCTTGACGAAAGGTGGCGAACCGATAGGCTTTCAAGTTGGATCGTTTGCTGAACGTTATCTGAGTGAGGAGCTGAACATATCTAAATCCAGGCTTTTTGCTCTTGGATCACCGGAAGAATATGCCAAGGCACTTGAGCTTGGCCCTGACAAGGGGGGTGTTGCTGCTATAGTTGACGAACGTCCATATGTAGAAAGTTTCCTGTCGAGACAGTGCACATTCAGAGTTGTTGGTCAAGAGTTTACAAAAAGTGGCTGGGGTTTCGTGAGTTCTAATTCTTTCTAGAACTTATCATTCTTATTAAATGTGGGATGCATTATTTAGCAACTCTTCTCCTGTTGCTCCTTTTGGTATTTCAGGCATTCCCCAGAGATTCTCCCTTGGCTGTAGACATGTCGACGGCCATTTTGCAGCTCTCGGAGAATGGCGATCTTCAACGGATTCATGATAAATGGCTAATGAAAAGCGCCTGCAGCATGGACAGTGCAGAGCTAGAATCAGACCGGCTTCAACTTAAGAGCTTCTGGGGCCTGTTTCTAATATGTGGGATAGTCTGTTTCATTTCTCTTGCCATATACTGCTTTCAGATTATTCGTCAGCTATACCGTTCTGATGAGAAAGGATCTGATCTGTCCATCAGTAGTGGATCACATTCTAATCGTCTTCGACGAATTATATCATTGATGGATGAGAAAAAAGAACCTTCTAAAAGAGAAAGCAAACGAAGGAAAGTTGAGAAATTATCTGAAAATGATAGGCATGATGATCAGTTGGAGATCAATCCCTGAGAAGGTGGCAAGACAGAACTTGAAGCAACCACCCAGGTTCATTGTCCGCTCTCTTCATCAATCATTTTAAGGCCTTTCCACACATAAATTACATTCTAAATCCAGTAAGGGAGATGTATAACTGAGCTATCTGTCTCTATAGGTTTAGAAAAATATCTATTTCTAATTTTTTTTTCTTTTGTTCTACTTCCTTTTGGGCGAAGGCTGGAGTAAACACAAGAACTAAAAGCAGTAGCTGAAGTAAAATTTTAGCATTTTGCATTCTGCCGATTCTAGAGAGAAATCGGAGCAAAATATCTAAATTTATAGAACAAAATGGACTACAAGATGTGTGTGGACTAAGTTGCAAAGCAAAAATGAGGAAGAAAGGTGTAATAAAGGTGATGGAACCATGTTGTAGTATTTCGTTCATTGCTGTCCCTTTTCAAAGGTCATTAGCTTTAGAATATTGCCTTCAAATGTTATATACGAATTCAAAACCAGCATTGTACATTCATGCACAAGAACAATATAGACTCAAAACAGCCAGCAAGAGACATGATGCCTAAGCTTCAAAAACTTTGCACTCTTTGTCAGCTGGGTTAGTCTGGCAGTAATCCTCCAATGGGTCTCCACTTTTTCCCGATCCCGCTCCCGGCCATTTGCTTGCCACCAAATGAGCCAAGTCGACGACTCTTTGGCTGGAGACACAAAAAAAAAAAAAAAAAAAAAAAAAAAAAAAAAAAAAAAAAAAAAAA